CTGCTAAAAATTGAGTGTGTTTTTTTAAGATTCAGCCGCAAGAAGGTATGGGTTTTCATCGTCACGTAGTAGCGGGTTTGAGTTGTGTGTTGGTTCGATTGGGTACATGATTCTTTACCGCAGGTTTGTAGATTCAAGTTTTGAAATATACGGGTAATTTATGGCGCCAGATGCATATTGTACGATGTCTGTTTTTTTCCGTTTTTCATGGTGATGGTTTATTTAATTATTTAATTGTGTATAATCATTATGTGTTCACGTTAGGTGTTTTGTTAAAAATATTTGTGTTTCGTTGCATATTTCGTGTTTCGTTGCATATATGACTCGGTATATGAGGTGTTGAGTGAACCTGTTGTTGTAGTTGATTTATGGAATAAATCATGTTCATGCCGAATGTGGCAAATTTCGGGATTCGCTCATGCTGCTTGTGTGCTCTACAAAGTGAAGATGGAAGGATACAATTATGTGGAAGAATACTTTCATATATCGTCATACAGACAAAGTTGTGCTAAAGCAATTTTTCCATTTGCTAGACCTTTTGCTGACCCTCCTTTGAATATCGTTGGTCAGCCTGAGTTCCAGCCAAACCGTGGTAGACCAAAGACGAAGATAATTGCTTGTAGGGGTGAGAGTGTAGCGAGGATGATGAAGTGTAGTAGTTGCAACCAGGTTGGAACGCACATCAAGAATTCATGCACGCACATCAAGAAGACATGCATAAGGCGTATTGACTAGGTTCATTTTGGATTGCTTTTGAGTTGTTTTAATTTGCTTTTAAAGTTGAACATTAGTTTTTGTTTTTTTTTCATTCTACGATTTATGTTTGAGAAGTACTTTTCTCATTTCAGCACTGTGATATTTTTGCGGTGGATGTTTTCTTTTACTTTCATGGATTTTCTTGTTGATTGAGTACTTGAATAGTTATTGCAGTTACAAAATTCAAATTTGCATAACCTTGTGAGTTGTTTTCTTTTTACATGTGTTTGGTTGTATTTTGTTCATATCTGTTCCCGTTAAATTCAACCATCTGTGGACAAGTGCGCATAAACATTCGATAGAAACTTATTGTATTGTTTTTGTGTTTTCAATTCATATCAAAGACAGTCTTGGAACAATGGCCATTTTCGAAGATAATGCAACTTATTCGGGGATGGTGCACAATAAACACTCATTGCGCAAATACCAAGTTCATGTAACTAAACATAGCATACCAAAGACGCATACAGTATATCATAGGATTATATAGTCGATAATCCTTGTAGAGCACTACCAGGCTGTGTAACAGTGGGCATTTGGTTAATTAATTTACGTAAAGCAGGCCATAACGAAGATATGCAACAGTATATGTCACATGATATCTATGACTTCAACTCATTAAATTGAAAAGGTACAATAATATATAGATACGAAACAGTGCTAACAATGACCGGCTAGTCTCTAATATTTTTACCCAAAAACTAAAGGTTTAAAACCATAATTATGTTTAACTAGGCAACACTGCAAATATTATTCGCAAAATGGTTTTCATTTGCGTACAAGAAACAAAAAAAAAATGGGAGAAATTAATCGTTCATTCCATCTTGTAATTTAAAAGATATTCTATAATGCTCCTTCTCATGTTTGTGACCCCCTCTTTTGCTTCTTTTATTTCCAAGGGCGACTGAAGAAAACATTGTCTCGCCTGCAAATTTGACAAATCATATTTGTTACCAGGAAAGCTAAATGTATGGTAGAAGATCAAAAAATACATAGACTATATAGTTTCAAAAGCAGTAAATGTCTTAATGAATTTGACATTTTCTAATACGTAGACAACTACAGAATATCACAATACCCATAGAGTACCACAGTATTACATATGTATATAATTAGTTACCAAAAAACCTACATATCCAAAAAAATTGGATTAATGAATCAGGATTCAAGACCTCAACATTGGTATGATTGTGTTTATTCAATAATAAAATTTTGAGTGTCTTATAGGACTTGCACAAACTGGATGTACCCAGATCATGAATTGTCCTAATACGTTCAAGGAGATTAGATAGACTATAATCATTAAATCAATACTCAGCCTATCACCTGTACCCATAGAGTACTATAGTACCCATAGATTATCACAGTAGTACATAGAACACATAGATAATTACAGATACATATAGAACAATAATCTTCACGAATCACCCAACTCAATAACGTTTACATAATATGCAGTATTGTACCACTCATATGTAATAAAAAATCTAGAATATATACTACACTCTTCACATAATCAACTACAAAACAAACCACCAAACTTTTTTTGTATAGATTTGTGTCATAGACACCAAAAGACTTTAATATAATTAAACAACAAAACATATGTATATCGTACCTGGATCTAGCGCATTTATGTCTTGCGTGCCTTTCATCCTCATCTCCCCTGCGAAATCGATTTTGTAAATTACAAAATCAAATTCGTACTCGATATATGAGTAAGCGTAGACATTGGAATGAATAGATGGCAACGAAAGTTGGCTTCTTCTGTTGTATACTACATCGGTGTTCCCGTCCGATTTGCAGAATAAACACCGTCCAATTTGCAGAATAGAAAGAAAGGAAAGAAAATAAAATTGGGTGTGATATGATGCGGTTAATAAGGGATTTGGGAAAATAGAATCACGTATATTAGTAATGGCGAGATTAGTAGGATTTAATTTCAACTTGCCAAATCATAAAACACGGCGTTAAAAATCACCGTAAGGGTAGTATAGGAACTATTTTACAAAAGGATGTGGGGCTAATGTTTTTCTGGACTTGGGAGTAGCTTCTAATATGTTTTCCCACTAGGGATGCATATCTTAAAGCCCCTAAAAAATATTAGTAAATTCCCCTAAAAAAATTAGTCAAAGCCAATAAGACCTCTCTACGAGCTGAATGTGTGTTGCATGCGCGGATTTCGCGACCTGTGGTATGTGTTTTGACACTGAAAAATACAATATACCACTTTAAAACATAAATTTAGAGAATTATAAAGGCACCCCATGGTTCTAGTAAGACCCAAAATAAAAGTTTCATGATTTTCGGTGATATGTAATATAAAAATAATTCTTTTTGTTTACATAAAATTATTAGAGCATTTCCCACCTTTAACACCATATGTTCACCAAATCCTATTTTTGGTGGTGAAAAATGGTGTTATCTCCCACCCGTAGCACACCATTGTATAATTTCTCTATTTTTAGTGACAAAATAGTGTATTTGGTCTCCCACCAATTCCATCAAATTTTACACCAAATAATAAAATATTAGTATTTCACCATTTTACTATTTGTAGAGAATAGGATTTGGTTTGGTCTCCCATTGCATTTCACCAAATACATTACAAAATTATAATTTTAATGTTAATTGTAAATTTAGTCTATTTTATTACCAAAATAGTGAATATGAATTTGATCTAAAACAATGATTTAATTAAGTATAAAATTTAAAAATTATGATAAATATCAAAAATTTATTGAAACATGAATGATAATCGACTTAGATTATTATACATATAATAAAACCATGAATAAACAATAATTTCATTAATTATTTCCTAAAAACCTTACAACATAAATTAATCATAAAAACATTACAACATAAGTTAATTATAAAAACATTACAATGTTTTTTTTGGCCAAAAAAATTATTTCATTGATAAAAGGTGCTTCGTTAAAACCTTGTTTGGCCTAACAAGGAAAGAGTATCCCTTATTAGGAGATGAGTCTCATTCACCATTACTATCGTCATGATGTTCAACATCATCTATTTGATCACGTTTATCCCACAAATGTGCTACAAATCTCCCCCCTAGTTCATTATGCTCATTTATCAGATTTCGATGTCGATTAAGAAAATTAACATATTTTGTATTATCTAAATCTCTTGAAAGCTTAGCAGGCGGGACAGTGGATAAACTTTCATAGTCAAGATTGCCGTGTAGATACCCACCACGTTCTCCTTCAACTATCATATTGTGCATAATAACGCATGCAAACATGACTTCACGTAAGTCTTTTTTTTTTCTAAAACCTAGCTACTCTTCTAATAATTGCAAATCGAGCTTGAAGAACTCCAAATGCCCGTTCTATATTTTTGCGATATGATTCATGTTTCTGTACGAAATATTTTTCTTTGGCGCATTTGGGTTCACTAATGGCTTGGACTAAAGTTGACCATTTAGGATAAATACCGTCAGCTAAATAATAGCCGTCACTATATTTCCTACCTTTGATTGAATAATTAACTGGTATAGATGTACCATTGGTCAGTGCTTGAAATAAAGTTGATTTTTGTAAGACATTAACATCGTTATTTGTAAAACTAATTCACTAATTAACACTAATATATTTACTATTAATATATTTATAAGTTGGTAATCACGTGAAATTAGTTAATATAATAATTTTATATGCTAATTATAAAATGATGTTAATTATACCAAATCCTATTTGCACTTCTATATTTGATAGAAAAAAAGGATTTGGTGGAAAAAATGGTAAACTGGTGGATGGGTGGGAGATGAAAATTTCTTCACCAAAAACTTTGCTGAAAATGTATGATCTAGGGATATAGTGATATATAGTTTGATCAGGGTGGGAGACTAAACTAAATCACTATAATTTTATGTATAATGGTAATTTAGAGATTTAAGTTGGGAGACTAAACTAAATCACTATAATTTTATGTATAATGGTAATTTAGAGATTTAAGTTGGGAGACTAAAAACACCTAAATTAGGTGATAATTGTAGGATTTGGTGATGGGTGAGAGATGCTCTTAGGGCTAATTTTGTTATTTCATTTATGTCAAAAACCAATTTTAATGTAAGGAGTTGTGTGCTTTATAAAACATAACATAGGGGGCTATTGGTAATTTTTTTAACATAAGGGTTTTTTCTACAATTAGAGATTACACAGGGGTCTTGCTAATAACTCCCAAAAAAGATTGCAGCATCGTTCAAATTACTGTTGATTACCAGCTGGTCAATTCGTCGAACATTCCACGCGCGTATTTAATCTCAACCCATTTTCCACTCTGTATTTAATTGCCCCCCCCACCAAAAACACGCACCACACACACACTAAAAGATCTGCAGGAAAAAAAAAAAAGCCAAAAAAAGAAAAAAAAAAAGGTATACTTAAAGCACAAGATAAGCATATTAACTGAGTAATTTTCACATACCCACGTGAAGCTTCGCTGCCATCTTCTTCTTCTTCCTCTCACGTGCGAATCGCCTTTTATTTTTAATCAGTACAGAACTCCAATTTTTTTCTCGAAGCTGCACACAAGGTGTTTGATGAAATGTCTGTGACGTGTGGGGTGGAGTGCGTGGTGGTTCTGGGGTGCATGCGTTGGGCGTGGAAGCGCTGCACCTACATCGGCTCCGACGACAGCGCCGCCTGGCCAATCGCCACCTCCGACGAGTTCGAACCCATCCCCCGCCTCTGCCGCATCATCCTAGCCATCTACGAGCCCGACCTCCGCTCCCCCAAATACGCCCCCGCCGCCGGCTACGGCCTCAACCCAGACTGCGTCATCAAGCGCGTCGCCTACGAGCAAACCCTCGGCCACGCGCCGCCGTACCTCATCTACCTCGACCACGTCAACCGGGAGATAGTGCTCGCCATCCGCGGCCTCAATCTGGTGAAGGAGAGCGACTACAAACTGCTACTCGACAACAAGCTCGGTATGCAGATGTTCGACGGCGGGTACGTGCACCACGGCCTGTTGAAATCGGCGATTTGGGTTCTGAACACCGAGTCGGAGACTTTGAGGCGGCTGTGGGAGGAGAATGGGAGCGCGTACAAGATGGTGTTTGTGGGCCATTCTTTGGGCTCCGGCGTTGCCGCTCTGTTGACTATTATTGTGGCCAACCACGGCGACAAATTGGGCGGCGTTCCGAGGAGTTTGGTCAGGTGCTACGCGGTGGCTCCGGCGAGGTGTATGTCGCTCAATCTCGCGGTGAAATACGCAGATGTCATACACTCTGTCGTACTGCAGGTGACAATTTGCCTTTTGATTTCAATGTGTTCGAGAAAATGCCTATGTTCGATTTTGTTCCCGATTGAAATATTTGAGCTTGATAACTTCGTCTAGATTTCACTAACTAGTTGAAAATAAACAGAAAATGTTTTAAGTTGAAACATTTTGGATAGTTAAATTAAACTAAGGATTGTGTAATTAGAATATAAGATTTGGCATCCCGATAAAACATTAGCGCGAAGGTAAAAACTTCGTCTTTGTGCTCATCAAAACGTATACACCCCCGACCCCAGCTTGTAAAAGAAATTGGCTAAGTTTAGTGTTCCGATAAATTCTTAAAACATGAAGCTCTTTACTAATAAAATAATTAAGTAATCACTCGTGATTATTGTTCATTCTCTTGGTTTTCGTTCTATTGTTGGATCAGCCATGGGTAAAATTGGTAATGCAAGAAGGGGTTAAGTCAGTTGCTACCACATTTTGCACAAAAAAGAAAACGATTTTTCTCGGATTATTTCTAATCTTTTTTTGTGCCAAAGATGTTAACTAATTAAGCTCGTACTTGGGTTTTGTTCAGGATGATTTCTTGCCAAGAACACCGACCCCGTTGGAAGATGTTTTCAAGTCCATCTTCTGGTTAGTTTTCATTAGCTAATACTAGTTGGATCCTATACGAAAGGCATTTTTTTAATAAAGTTTTTTACGTCTTAAATTAGTGAATATTTTCGGTTATTTAAACCAGGATGTAATGATTTGGACAGCTTGCCTTGCTTATTGTTTCTGGTGTGCCTGAGGGATACATTCATACCTGAAGGTAGAAAGCTCAGAGATCAAAGGAGACTATATACACCTGGTCGGATATATCACATCGTCGAAAGAAAATTTTGCAGGTAAATTCGCAAAGTTCAATACTCAATTTAATTTTCTATTACAGGTATTCAAATTTGACAGTTGTTCGATAAATCTAGATACTTTAAGTTAAATCTAGAGTTAGTTTCTTGAAATTGGACTTATTTAAACTTTTTTGAACTTGGGCTTTAGAATCTTATTTGTATATAAATTGTCGACTTTTCTTGGCCAAAATATTCAATTTTGTTTCTTACAGAGTTACAGGTATTCGAATTTGGTAGTTGTTCGATAAATCTAGAGTTAGTTTCTTGAAATTGGACTTAATACTTTCCTTGGCCAAAATTTTTTAAAGTGATTTTCTGATTCAAACTAGGATCACCGTTTAATGAAGAAAAATAAACTAATTGAGTTTTTAATACAATTTTATAATTACTCCCTCACTTTCCGAAAAAAAAGAAAAAAAGAATTCAAACTTTGATATATATGTTTCTTTAAAAAAATCAAGGGTCCGTTATACTCTTGATATATGTATATACATACATTCAGACATCCTAAACATTTTAATATCGTGTCATTAATTCTTATCCTTGCATAAAATTATATGTAAATAAAATTCAAGTCGTTGTCATGGATAAAATCTTTGCACTTATGACGATAAAAAATTGATTATTTGTCGATTTGGCACAAACAGATGTGGAAGGTTTCCACCGGAGGTGAGAACTGCTATTCCAGTGGATGGAAGATTCGAGCATATTGTGTTATCATGCAATGCTACCTCCGATCATGCTATTATTTGGATCGAACGAGAGGCGCAAAAAGCCTTACAAGTAAGTCAAAAAGCCACCTTTGGAGCTCTATTCTTTTTTGTCTCAACTAATTTTACAAACGATTATTTAATTGCCTTGAACCATAAACACCGACTTCTAAGACCAAGTGTTATATGTGTTACATGCTCGAAATTTTTCATGTTTCATATCTTAGAGAAAAATGACCACACGTATCTAGTCCAGGATCTTCGTAATTATTTCCAATTCTACCCCTTCTATTCAGGGCAGTGAAAACTAGCTATCCATTTACCTAATTTCTTGAATAAATTTGAACTTTAAATCAGAGGGCTTGAAAATAGTAGTAGTCGGCTTTCGATTTGTATATGACGAGACAAACAGGAAGCTGAGGCCCCATTTCTGCCATAATTTACTTGCTTAATTGTCTTCAAAATGATTACATGTTTAAGAGGGCTATTGTATCTTTTGAATTAGGGTAAATTACAACCACCCCTGAGGTATGGTCAATTTACGAAAAAATCCCTCTTGTTTGGATAATTACATCTACTCCTCAACTATGATTTTTTCTTACACCTCCCCCCTTATGGTGTCAAATTCAACATAATCATCTAGTTTCGTGGAATGTGTTATAGTTTGCACTCGTTTTGTGTAAAAATACAGTTTGCACCACAATCTAATATATACAAGTCAAAAAACATATATTATGATCATCTTGCTTCAAAATGTAGAGTTCGAATGGGATAAAACGGGTGCAAAAGTGATAATATTACATGTAATCTCGAAGATTCCACTAAATTTGAAACCGCAAGAGTGGACGTATAAGAGAAGATTTATAGTTGAGGGGGTGGTTGTAATTACCCAAATAGGAGGGATTTTCGTAATTTGACCATTCCTTAGGGGTGGTTGTAATTTACCCTTTGAATTATGAGACACTGTTAATCAACAATTATATTTCATATATTACTCTTCAAATGTTTTGTAAGTAAAAATACGTGTATGCCCATGCAGAACTTGAAAGAGCTAAGTACAGAGACCGTAACCACACCGCCAAAAATGCAGAAACTCGATAGGAAGCTGACATTAGAAAAAGAACACAAAGACGCGTTGGAAAGAGCCGTAAGTTTGAATATACCTCACGCTGTAATTCCCGGTGAAGAAGAATCTTCCGGAAACACTGAAGAGGGATCTTCTTCTTCGGTGGAGAAAAGTGTGGAAGCTTCTTCTCATGATGGAAAAACGCAGCACTCCTCGGAAATAGAAAAATCGTGTTGCAAAAACGCTAGGACCAATTGGAATGAAGTAGCGGAGAAGCTTTTCAAGAGAAATGAATCCGGAAAAATGCTGTTGAATAGAGATGTCTCCGACTTTGTTACATAAAAACTACTAATGATTCTTATAGATAATTCATCTTCCGTATTAGTTTTTTGTTGTATTTCCTACCATTCTTTAATGTATACAAGCCTGTACAAAATACTGATCCTTTTGGTTTGTATATTGTATATAGGGTGAAAAAGTTGTCTTTTGGCATGAGAGAATATGAGAGAATATAGAGGGTGTTTGGCTAAGCTTATAAGATGTTAAAATGAGCTTATAAGATGTTTTAGAGCTTATAAGCTTTTTCAAAGTGTGTGGTAATTTTTAACAAAAGATCTTTTTTTTTTGAAATACGCTGGTGAGAGTAAATAAGATCTTTTCAAAAAAATACCTAAGCTACCTTTTTATTTAAGATCTTATAATGAGTAAAAATATGAAATAAGCACATTATTCAAACACTCTAAAAATTAATCCTAAAAATAAGATGTAAGAGTTTATCAGCTCTTAAAACATCTTATCAGACGTAAGAGTTTATCAGCTGTTTAAAATAAGTTTAGCCAAACATCCTCATAGTGCAACATTTGAAGATCTTTTATTATGAAAATTCGAATTTAATAAACTTAATACAACGCCCTCCAACTATGCTCTCATTTTGAGAACTTAGTTAGCAGACCAGAGTTATTCATCTGAGTTGGTTTCACTCGAATTGAGTTATTGATTGTTCGCAAGTTGATTGTGTGAGATTTGTGATGAAGTTTTTGAAGATGGTATGTAATGGACTACATTTTAGCACTTTTTACTCCTCGGTGAATATGTCTTTCACAGTGAATGTGTTTAGCACTCCCTTTGGCTTATTCAACCCAAATTCAATAAGTAGTTGGAAAGTACTTCGTCCGTTTCAAATTATATGTCATTTTAGAGAATTTTTTTGTTTCATATTATCGTTATACAATTCCAATGATACATTAATTATATATAGTTTCAATTTCTCAACGACTTGGATGATTGAGATTTATTGGGAGAGAGAATTATGGGAGAGAAAATTCCACAGCGAACTTTGAGATCTCCAAATAGCAGGGACCCTCTATGATAGATGACTTAGCAATAAGCCCCATGTGAAATTTAGTCAAAGGCATTTACCCCCTGGTTACGCGTAATGCTTGACTAGTAGTCGGTTTTTGGACGTGAAATGGCGAAATTGACCCTCAAAATGTATTTATATGTATATATATTATATGTATATATATGTTCTTTTTAATTTGCTTGTTTAGAAATTAAAATATTATTAAAAAATAGCAAACAATTAAAATTGGAAAAATATTAAAAATTTGGTAATGAAATTAAGTATATGTTTTTTTTAAATACAAAATTAAAAAATACATAATAAAGGAATTTAAGTTTTCTTTTGGTGTAGGAATAATTTAATATATATACATAAATTATCTGATAATAAAAATAGAATAGTAAATTATCTAATTAACATATAAATAAAATAAAATAAAATAATTAAAATGTTTAAAAATATACGAATTTATTAATTGTAAAACCCCGGCGGTATTTGTGTCTTTTAATATCAAGTCAACACTCAAATGAATAATGAGTTGAGTGTGCTATATAAATAATTTCATAGGGGGGTTTTTACTAATTTATTTATCACATGGAGGTTTTTGTTATTTAGAGATTAGACATGGGTACTTTTTCCGTTTACTCAAATTATTAATGCGAGAGAAGTCAAAAAAGAAAATAAAAATTGGTAGAAGGGTATTTTAGTCTCCATATGAATTTTCCCTTCAAATTTAGCGTTATTAATTGACTATAGTTCAAAAATAATACTTTCTCCTCGAGATCTACACACATTAGCCCTTACTCATTATCGCAACTCTTTCCACAAATTTCTTAGAAAACTTTTGGTGGAGTATGGTTTATACGCTATTTGGAGTACGATTGCCATTGTACCATTGGCGTACAAAATCGGAAGCTCTGGGTCGAGCTCCCATGTCGATAAAGTACAAAGTTTTTCATTTGTTGTTGTCAAATGCAAATGAATTAATTTGACCGCCACATGATTATTGCCCATTCTCTTGTCTTCATCATGTTGGATCAGCCGTTGGTTATATGGAATCAACCATTTGTAAAGTTGGTAGGCAAGAAAGGTTAGTGAGTCATTGCGGATTTTGTTATTTTTTAAAGTACCATACAAATGGACTTTATTAGTATTATAAGTTTGTTTAGTATGTTTACAGATGAAGTGTTAGCTAATTTTATAGTACTCAACTTCCTGATGCATAGTGGCAATTGATTTAATCATATAACTGGGCGTGACTCGTGAATGTTATAAATACACTCTAAAATTCGAATCCTAGAACGTAAGGGAGGGCTGTAAAATGAAGAGGTTTTGTAGGAGGTCTTAAAAATTTCTACAATTTGTTGACAACTTCCTAGAATATTCCAATATACAAGTGATCTATTGTGGATTTCGATTTTGTGTTTTGAATTAGTTTTCCTAATATAGTAATAACATCTTTGGCCCAAATATTTTTATGACAGTTTGGTCCAAAGAGACAGACTGATACATGGTCTTCTTTCACATTACTGAAGTAATACATTATTATAATCTCCCACAAGGGATGAATTAACGGTTGGAGTAAGTGAGCATGTGTCGATTGACCAAAATTCGAATTCCTTTGGCAACAGTCGCTAGATGGGGCTTGTCACACATAGTTAACTTAGTGTGGTTTACATCTCTCGTTAATATATATATATATATATATATATATATATATATATATATATATATATATATATATATATATATATATATCCTATTCTTATTATTAGGGTAAATTACAATCACCCTCTCAACTATAAATCTTCTTACACGTCTACCCTTGCGGTTTCAAATTTAGTTGAATTTTCGAGATTATATGGAATATTATAACTTTTGTACCCGTTTTATTCCATTCGAACTCCACATTTTGGAGGAAGATGATCATAATATGTGTTTTTTGGCTTTTATATATCAGATTGTGGTGCATCAGAAACTGTATTTTCACACAAAAACGAGTACAAACTAGAGCACATTCCACAAATCTAGATGTTAGGTTGAATTTGACACCATAAGAGTGGAGATGTAAGAAAAAATCATAGTTGAGGGGTGTAGATGTAATTATGCAAAGAAGAGAGGTTTTTTCGTAAATTGACCAAAAAAAATTAAATAAGTTAACGCCAAAATCCGGCAGCGGAAAAAAAAAGACCAGAAAAAATAAAATAAAATAAAAATAATCAAAAAGTCAACGCCGGTTTCTGGCGGCAAAAAAAAAGTTTTTGAAAAAAAAAAGAGTCAAAATTGGATTCTTGTGGTCAAAATTGATTAAATTGAAGTTACAGTTAAAAATTTAGTATAAAGGGTTGAATGTAATTTTGTCATATACATGAATGTATCTTTATTTATAATAAATATTAAAGGGATGTGCTTATTGGTGAAAGAGATATAGCCTTAAACCTAGAATAATAAAGATGTTTGGTTAGGGATTTATGCACAAAAACCCCAAAGGAAAAAGTCAAACGGATCGAAAATATCGTCCAATTTCCACCCATGGAAACAACCAACCCTTTCCAAAACACATAAATATTACATCAAAAAATTGGGAAAATTATACTTCCCATCCCTCAAGTTTGCACCAATTTCACATTTGGTCCCACATGTTCAGAAAAATCACATTTGGTCCCTCATGTTTCAATAATTTAACACTTTTGGTCATTTCCGTCATTTTACCGTTAACTCGCAGTGATGGGCACACGCTTGATTCCGTGAGTAATAACAAAAAATTGACGGAAATGACTAAAAGTGTTGAATTGTTGAAACATGAGGGACCAAATGTGTTTTTTTTTGTGCAAACTTGAGGGATGGAAAAATGTATTTTTCCCTCAAAAAATTTATACTACAATCTAGAAATCTTTTCCAACCCTTCAAGAACCATGTGTAGCTCCAAACCCTGCGTATTATTTCCTCCGTTTCGAGCTACAAACTCGTGTATTCTATCTTTAACCTGTATCCAGCTTCTGCCAGGTGGCTTCCCCTTCATCGAACCTCTCATTTCTTTCCTAACACGAACAACTTCACTCCACCGATTCTCGTTCGCATAAATATTCGACAAAAGAACCGAAGCCCCACCTCTCTCATTCAAAAACTCAATCTTTCTCAAAACACATTCACCAAAATCCAACTCATTATGAAGCCTACAACCACTCAATAAAGATCCTAAAACAGCCAAATTAGGCTCCATCGGCATATTTTCTACGATATTATAAGCTCGCTCGACCATCCCAGCTCTTCCCAATAAGTCGACAATGCATCCGTAGTGGCGGAGATCGGGGGCAATTCCGTAATTTTTGGTCATCGACTCGAATATGGATAACCCTTCCTCGACCAATCCGGAGTGAGCGCACGCTGAAAGAGCAGCTACGAAGGTTACTGCATCGGGGGCAACTTCGTAAATTTGCTCCATTTGAGATAACATGTTTAGAGCTGCTTGTCCTTTTCCGTGCATAGCGTATGCCGAGATAATCGATGTCCAAGAATACAAGTCCCTCTTATTAGTAGAATCTTGAATATCATCGAAAAGTTTTCTAGCGTAGGTTAAATCTCCAGATTTTGCGTAGGCGTCTATTAGTGAATTGGTGATGGAAATATCGAGTTCGATCCATCCACTTTTCTCTAGGAAAGCGTGCATGCATTTTGTGGGGTCCATTGAGCCTAAACCACCACAAGCCGACGTTGCGGAGATGATTGTAACAACATTAGGCTTCACTCGAGAATCATATTCATCAGCCATCATCTTTTTCAAGACGTGAATTGCTTCGGTGTAGTAAGATTGCGAGACGAGTCCCGATATTAAACTTGTCCAAGACACCACATCTCTGTCGGACATTTCGTCGAACACCTGCCATGCATCCGCTGCAGAATTGCAGGCTAAGTACACAGTGAGAAGAGAGTTCTCCACGAACAAATTATCAGCGAAATGTAGTTTGAGTACGTGGCAGTGCACTTGTTTCACCGAAACCAGATCGGAAATGGTTCCGCAGGCTTGGAGCAAGAATGGAAACGTGTATTTATCGGGAACCATTTCTCGGCTGAGCATTTTGATGTAGTAATCCGATGCAGTAATGGGGTCGCGAGCGGAGAAGAATCTAATCATTGTATTCCAAGAAAAAGTATTGGGTTTTTCAATCTGATCGAAAACTCGAATCCCGAACTCAGAAATATCCGATTCAGCACTGGTTCGTTCCGATTGAATCAAGGTGAGATAAAGGAGGCGGCTCATGACGAAAGGGTTCCGATGAAGGCCGGAAACGAATACGTAAGAGAGAAGGTGTTTGATGTGGTTGGACGATCGGCGGCATGTTTCTTCGAGGAGTTTTAATCTGGTGTGTCTCTGGAACAATTGGTTATGGTGGACCCAAGTTGAAGAAGAAGAAGAAGAATTGGTTTGGGATGAGAAATTGATTGTTCTGCAGATGTGGTTGAAATTGATGAATCTTCTTTGTAGAAAGGGATTTTTGGATTGCATTCAAAATTTATAAGAGAGGTTGTTCCGGCAGAAAGTGGGCGGTGCTCCGGCGGCTGAAATTTTTAGAGAAAGGCCACAAGATTGTTTCTGAATTTTGGTTTTTTAACCCCGGAGTTTTAAATGTTTTTGCAATTAGGACCAAACTACAATTTTTTTTTTTTTTGAGAAGACCAAACTACAATTCAAGTTGGAATTCATTTTGACAATGAAGTTTTATTTACTTTTGAAATGTTCAATTCGATTTTCAACAAATGCCTTTTTGTTGAATTTCGAACCGAGCTTGAATCACTGAAATCCGAGTACATTCGAAAAAGTTGTGGCCGGAAACACTTCACTCGATGAATAACAATATAATTTACTGTCGTTTTGATATTCAACCTTGATTTAATTCGTCTTTCAGATAACTCAAAACGTATGAGTTGTATTTTCTTTTCTATATTTTGTTGCAATCAGTTCTGTCGCGGGATTCGTACGCATCCAACTAGTTAGAACCACCGGATTGTGGAGTGGTGAAAATAAAATGCCGATGCAACATTCCCGATTGTGGGATCTTTCTATTCAACAACATACATCAAAGTAAATCGAGACCAGCTCGACCACTTATTCTTTTGGTGCGTACATAGAAGATATCTTACTTGCGAAATATTTTACACTTTGTTCTTGCGATTTTCTTAAAATCTCTACGAATCATTTGAATACTATTGCTTTGACATGGACACACATTTAGAGAAGGATTTCCCCTCCTCCCGATTTGGCCAATGTTACCTACTACCATTCATACGTTTTCCCCGAGGATTTTCCCTCCCCCGATATTTTGATCTTGATTAAATTATATTTACAAAAAACTCAAAACAAGAAAGATGTGGATCGATATATTGAATTTCCAACCCATCTTGAATAAGAAAAATCATTTCGAGATCTTTCGGGTATAACTTTTTCAAATAGCAACCAAGCAAAGTATTTCGTAGCATTTTCAAACAAACACGGATTTTAGTGATTCGAGTTCGTGTGTAAAATTACGGTATTGAGGATAAAATGTGAGTGGTGGTCCATCTAGAATTCACTAAATCCTAGGAGCAAAACAAGACAAGGGGTTTTCTTGTCCAAACACCACCTTCACCAAAAGTTTTCCAAGCCCGCCAAATCTCCCTCCACTAAATTTCATTTCAAACTTTCAAATTTTTGAACTATCTCCAAAAATTCAAAATAAAAAATTAAAAAAAAAAAAAAAACATCACAGAATAAAACATTAAAGATAACATATAGCCCCCAAAATACAGCCATAGACAACAAAATTAAACACTAATTAAAATCATTCCCATTACAAATTACAATAAGTAAAACACCTACAGATATGATAATCCAAACACATGATAAACAAACTCCTAAACCAACAAAAGTCAAAGGGTAAGAAATCGAGATCGTAACCGAAATCGAAAACCGAAACTAAAAAACAAGAACCAATATTCAGACTTCCACACCATTCTGCACAGCATCGGTTTTGTCCTTCCTCGGCCTACCCCTCGGCCTCCCACTACCAGTGGGTCCCGCCGAAGTCTTGGCTTTCTTGGCAGCAGCCGGTGCACTCGGGTCCTTTCTTGGCCGACCCCTACCTCTAGAGCTACCTGCCGGAGCGGCAGGGGCGGGAGCAGGGGCGGGGGCAGAGGGGTCTTTCGGCTTTGGGGGGCGGCCCCTTCCACGCTTGACGGGGGCATCGGCCCCTGCCTTGAGGTAGCTGTTGTTGACGAAGAGAAGCTCGCCGTTTTCCTTCATGGAGGTGAGGTTGGCTTCGAGGATGTCTTCGTGGTCGTCTGAGATTTCTTTGTACTTCGACTCGATGTACTCCGATATCGATGACTTGTCTGAACCGTCTTTCTGCTTCAGTGCTTCTATGGCTTCCATTATCATCTGTGTGCACAAATAATTACAATTTTTTTAAATAAGAAAATAAAAAAGCAGAGACACACTTAGTGTGTGAAATTAAAATTGCCCAGATTTAATGTAAAATCAGGCGGAAAATGGAAATGGATTTGTAAATCTGGACAGAAACATGTTTAATTTTAACATAGATTTCGACGAATGAAACAACCAAAATTAGGGTTTATAAACATTAAAAAAAAAATAAGAAATAAGGGTTTCTGTGTTCAAATGTGAAGCTCCTAATTAATTCATGAAAATTAGGGTTATAAAATCGACAATTAATTCATACAAAAATCATGTACGGCCAACAACATATAAAAATAAAAATTAAATAAATAATTAAATGAAGCTAAAAAAAATCGCGAAATGGAAAAGGGGAAACGGGGGCAGAAGAGTAATTTGTGATGTTCTAACCTCTGGGTAAGGAGGGAGTGACGCAGATTTGCCGAGCTCTTCGTCAATCGCCATGGAAGCTTGACTGTGAAATTGTAGAGAGAGAAACAAAGCGACACAGTAGAGAGAGAGAGAGAGAGAGAGAGAGATTTAGGGGTCAACTACACAGTGAGGGAAACTGAGGTGGGGGTGGGTGGGGGTGGGGGGGTCAGAAATTGTGATTGTTAGAGAGAGAAAGGGCGTACCATTTATAATCGACTAAATTAATTTATTGCAACGGGCTCCGATTCCGCCAAGAGAAAAGCTCGCGATTGTGTTTTTAATCAAGCCAAAATTAAATGAATGGACGGCTGCGATCATCTTGATCGAACGGATGTACGCTAGTGAACATGGTTAGACGAGGATCGATGACGTGGCTTGGAGATGAATTATTAAATGAAAATTTAACTTTAAGCCGGGCCAGCCCTAGCTGGCTTGGGCTTGGGCCCATATTGAAACCCGATCCACAGACAGTAACCAACAGATTTTGACCAAAAAAATTGACCCGAATAATGCATATATGGATGGGTCAATTAAGGATTAGGTTTGTCTAACAAAGTCAAATCAAAAGTCAAACCCGATTTTTTTTTTTTTTCTTTCCATTTTTTCTATTTTAATTTTCAACGTTGAAGATTAGTCAACGATCCATATTAATGTAGGATTTTTTTTTTTTTTTTATATTGGTGAGTTGATCTGTGAACTGTGAATTGAGGGTTCTAACAAGCCTATTTGAAAAAGATTTTGAATTTCAAAATAAAAAAGAAATTAAAACCGATACGGGCTCGATTATCCTAAAATCCTAATTAATAAAGTTTTACATCAAAGCTCAAAGACAGCCCAAACTAACTCTCACCTTGCCCACCAACATTCCATAAAATATGTTACTAGCCCTACGTGGGATAGCTATAGACGGTGGATGTGACTACATTCGGGCGAAATAAAGAGAAGAAGGAAAAGCCTACAACATGACATGGACTAGGAAAGGGGCTCATTTACATCATAAGCATAAGCGATCACATCAGCAAGTCATCCCTATTGAACTGACTCAGGTCGTAAGGAACGAGGACGAGGCAATTCGCCCACAGCAGACAAGCATAGCTCGCAGTGATCGTCGAAATTTTAACACCGGAAAACTCTTTCTCGACACTATTTTTGCAAGTCTATCAGGAACCAAGGGCTTCACCTTATTTGGGCATTTTTTTTTCACCTGAAACACATTTTATTTCTTTATATTTGAGTGAGCCATTTAGGCCAAATCAAAAACCATCAAAATCGACCCTTGTTTAGTTGGAACTAGTCATGAACCGGCTATTTGCGAAGGCTCCGTTAAGAGTGGGCATATGCCCATGTTCTGTTGGTTTCGACTCATGGTCATGGCTATTTATCGGGGAAAATGGGGAAAATCATGTCTATTATAGGGAAAAATTGGGATAAAATGAAAAATAAATGATTGTCAGCGTGATTTTTTAAAAGGGAAATAAGCAATACCCTCCATTTGCGAAATTAATATAAGAGGGGGACCCTTCATTTTACTAATTAGTGAAAACCTTTTTAGTTGTTAGTTACATTAGATGATTAATAAAACCAAACTTCAAGCAATACCCTTAATGAATTATAACTATCTTTTTTTTTTCTTTTACACTCCAATCCATGATTCACGTCAATCTCACCAAATATATCTTCCACGAGCTCTCCTCTGATTCAATTTCACCAAAATATAAAATCCCACAATCTCTTCTCCAATTTAATCTCATTTTCAAAATTCTGAAGTAAAGTAATCGTGTAAATTATACGGGGGCGAATTCACAACCATAAATTAGATTAGTAAGGATTTTCCAGCGAGGTGTTGCCCTGTAATTAAGAGTGCATTTCATTTTTCCATACTATTGATTGTGGCAGTGGAAGAGGAGAGGGGTGAATTTGCAATGGCAGCGACGGCGGAGGACGGTGTTGGTGGTGTACGGGGAGGACAAAATAAAGACCCATCACAATCTGTTGGTTGGGGATTGACATAATTAACTACGAAATTCATAGTTGATTAACGTAAATCTACTACAAAATTCATAGTTGATTAATTTAAATTGACTAGATAATTCATAGTTGATTAACGTAAATTGACTACAAAATTCATCCAGCAACCTTCTTTTCAAGTATTGCCAAGAAGATGACGAATTTATTGGTTAAACTAAGACTCGTGTTTCTTCTATAAAAAATGGCGCATGCTTAGTATTTGGAATTGGAAGTGTTAAAACTAATTAACAATGAACATAGTATAATATTTTCTGTGTATTCTTCTCAATAAAGGTATGAGCATATATACACGAAAGAATTAAGTTAAACAAGGAAGAACTAATTAAAATCAAATCAAATCCGAAAATTACACGCTAATGAAATCCCATAATTATGAATCGACACCTTGACCACTACGGTCAATGTGATGTCATTAAATTTGGTCAAACAAATTCAAAATATTTTACATTTTGAGGGAGAAATCTGGTGGGCATAATTTGGTATTAAATTTGCTAGGGTTTACAAAATTGGGAATCTTGATTAGAGAAATTAGGTAAGAATGTGAGTGGATTGGGGGTGTGTTCCAGCTTGATTTTGACTGCCAAATGGACATCATACGCGCAACTAGTAACAATTTCATCCAAGTTAACTTGGAAATGTGACGGACCGAAGCTTAAGTGTTGAAAAGTGGTAAATTCAAAGATTAATTTCATGGCAGCAAAAGTTTAAGGACTAATATTGTGTTAGTGATTTAATATTAAAGACAAAAACTGCAATTATCCCGACTCCTGTCAAATATTAAAAAGAGGATTGGGCATCTCCCCATTATTGTAATATTTTGAGTAGTTTTATTATCTAACTTTTTAATTCAAATTATTAAGAGAGTAGTCAAGTAGAGATGGGATGTGAATCGAACCCTAGACCCTGACTACCACGGTCAATGCAATATCATTTAATTTGGTCAAACAAAGTCAAAATAGTTGACATTTGATGTGGATCTCTAACTTTGCAACTCTAGGCATAAAAACCTTTATGCCGAATAAAGCAATTACACAAGGACAATCATATTCCCATATGACTTTGCTTTTCTTTTTCTTTTGATTAAACTTGATGAACTCAAATCCAATAAATAAACCCTAAATCAAAGTTGGCCCATGTCTAATTCGATTCGGTTTCGGTTTTGGTTTTGGCTTTAGTTTCGGTTATTTGGTTTCATTTTTCAAAATTAGAAACTCAACAAGTTTCGTTTGTAAAATTTCAAGAGAATGCACAACATTGATGAATTAGATAATCTGGTAATCAAACAAAATAATCAATATCTATTCATCGAAGAAAAAAAAGCGCCAACTTGTATGTATCTCAATACGAATACTACACGAACATATTATTAAGGTAATGGAATCTCAGCCAATTTTCTGAAAGAATATTCCACGGATCTCAAATCTCGAAGATGCTGCAGAATTTCTTCAAGAAGAACAATCCCTTTATTTCCTTTCGTCGTAGATCTTATGCAGTGATTTACAAACTCGTTATCGGATTCAAACATTTGTAGCCGATCGTAAGCATTGCTAATTGGTCCCTCTTCGATCAAGATTTTATCTTCAGCTTCATCGAAAAGTGGGAGGAGTTTCTTCGACATTCGGTCCGTATTTATCTCATCATTATCATCTCGCGACGAAAACAATTTGGCTTCCAAAACCTTGAGTTCTTCGAGTATGCATATTCTCTCTTCGTCGAACTCCGCTAAAGAGATATCGCTCACGGTCAACCGTTTGATGCATTCCACTTCTTCTTCTTGACGAGTATTTACGATAATACCCTCGTGCCCGTTTTCAAAATCGAGATCAAAGCGGTACATTTCCAGCTCCTTTTCGAGCTCTCGCTTCTCCCTTTCTCGTTTCGAAACGAGATCGTTCAAGTGCTGCAGCGCTTCTTGATCGTATTCGGATTGTTCTTCCATCATTCTTTGGTAATGCAGTGCCTCCATTTGCATGTCGGATTTCTCTTGTTGGAGCTTATTTATCATAGCCATCGTTTGAATGGCCGATATTGCTGCGGATTTTCTCTCTTCTTCGAGTTCTTTGTATAATTCACTCATAGCCTTTTCTTGAGCTTTTAATGAAGCTTTTAAATGTTCCGTCTCGGTTATTACGCCTCCATCTAAAGAACCCTCTTTTTGTTTCGATTCAACTGATATAAACCGCAGGAAAGATCGAAACCTTTTAGACATAATTTTTGTAATCTCGAACATATATATATTATATTATAGTACACGAAAACCTATTACAAAAAAGTGCTTATTTACCTTGGAAGCTGTCTATCACTTCAACTTCTGCTTTGCTATCAATCAACTCTATGCAAATGAAGCCATCAGATTCTAAGTATTCTTCTTCATTCTGCAAAAACAAATCACCCAAATTACAATATTCTGTCTTTTTCTCGTCGCTTCTCGTTTCTTCGTATTTTTTGTCATGCCTCTTATAATCAAGAACATCATAAGAAGGCTTTAATGGAGGGTATAGATCATTTCTGCTCAAGATTATTTGATCACAGCAAGAACATACTAGATCATTCCCCTCGTTTTTTTCTTGGACTATTATACCCTCATTCATAAAGAAATCAATCAACGGCGAGATTTCGATTTCGTTCGCGTTTCCACGATGGGACGGCCTAAAAGACGAGCAATCGCCGCACAAGTTCTTGGATTCGGCCAATCTTTGGTGATTCATGCAGTAGCTCAGCCTGGCGATTTCGATCCCGTGCACCTCGCACACGTGGTAATTACGGTGGGGTTGCGCGTGAATTTTTTTGGAGTCGAATATGTGGTTGAATCTGGTGCACCACGTGCAGATTGGTTTGAGGGCGAAGTATTTGGCGAACTTTTGTATGAGATGAGAGAGTAATGAGTTGAGGAGGAGGAGGAGTATGAGAATCCACTCAAGTGCTGCATGAATTAGAGTCGCTGCAATTTTGTGGCAGTTTCTGTCCGGCATTTTCACAAACACTTTGGCGACCATGGATTTTTCTGAACTAGCTTATGAGCTCAGAATACTGCTGTGTGTGTGTGTGTGACTGTGTGTTTCCACTCTTTCTGAAAGTTGATATGAAATTAATCAATTATAGTACTCAATAGCCTTTTTCTTAGTGATGTGATTGGATTTATTGGAGCGGCAAGTTTTTCCCCACTACATCCTTTTGGAGCCTTTTTATCAATTACAAATAGTGTCAATTACGGCCAACACCTAGGGTGAGATAACGTTAATTTACGAAAAAAATCTTTATGTTTGGATATTTAGTATTTACAAACACCCTATCAAATATGAATCATATTACACGTCCATTTATGCGGTGTTAAATTTAGTGGAATTTTCTGGATTATGTGGAATATTCTCTGTTAGAATCCTTTGGATTCTAATTATACGAGAATTAATGAAACTTGTGCCACAAGTTTGCATATACCGTGAGCTAAAGAAGGGAAGAGTCCTCGTAGCTTTTAATTCTTTTAATTTGTCATTAATTGATTTATAATAGGAATTATTCTTCTAAAGAGTTATTCTTATTTTAACCCAAGACTTTCTTGTGTGCAGGTCTCCTATTGTTAGAATCAAAATTGGAGTCTAATTATTCTCAAAGTCTTGGGGAACAAGTCTTCATGTTGCCGTGTGTTTTTTATTGAAAAAGGAAGAAGTGGTTTCCTTGGTTTATTATATGTTGTCATTAATATTTGAGATATTATTTTATATGGGAATTATTTATTGATAAGGCAAATCAATCTCCTATATCTCTAAGATTTAGATTCCTACGTGACTTGTATTTCTAAGATTGTGGTCTCTGACTTTTCCTTGTATAGGGATCTTATGGCGTAGGATATAAAAGGAGAGCTACCTCAGCAATAGGTTTCATGCGTTTTATTGGAGAGAAAAATAATATTTTTCTGCTCTTTTGATTGCTGCTCCAGGAACGTCTTTTTATCGAGAGAAGTTTTTCACAGAAAATATTTTTCCTCTCGTTTTTATTGTTCCATCGTGATACGTGATTTTCATAGAAAATATATCGGCTTCAAGGCTTTGTGGTGAAGACACCAAGATTCAAGGAGTATCACAAGTTTGCTTCTTCTACACAAAAAGAAGATCGGTTCTTCGGGAGAGGGGCTTAAACAGATCTCGGGAGGAGATCGATCCGCCGACTGAGGGATTCAGCGTTGAAGGGAGTTCAACCGTGCGGAGCAAGGGACGTGGTGCAAATTGAAGATTTATAATTCAGCGTAGTATACAAGAACGGCGTCAACAAAGAGGGAGTCTTTGTATTTTGATTAAGTCCTAATATTGTATTCGTAAAACTAAAAATTAGTAAATTTTATTTGCAGGTCCCCGTGGATGTAGGGTACAATTGTATCCGAACCACATTAAAATTTGTGTCTCGTTTATTTCTGTTTTTACGAACTGCTTCACGAACTGTTGCAACACTTCACACAACAGTAACGAAAAACTGAATCTGACACAAATAATTTATATCTGCACGAAATAATTCTAACAATTGGCATCAAGAGCCTGTCACTAGATACACTTAGTGAGATTTTGGGATTGAATTCTTTTTTATTTTTTTTGTGCAGACATGAATAATCATCGTGAAGGCGCATTCCTACCACCTGTCTTGGGTGAATTGAACTACTCTGATTGGAAAATAAGGATGAAGATGTTCATTAAATCTATTGATGAATGGGCCTGGCGCGCGATTCTAATTGGTTGGACACATCCTACCTCAATGAATGAGTCACACGAGATCATTCAAACCCCAAAAGAGAAGTGGACTGATGAAGAAGTACGAATAGCAGATTATAATTCCAAGGCAACCAATGCTATCTTGAGTTGTATCGATGAAGATCAATTCAAATTGATATCAATGTGCAAATCAGCAAAGGAGGCATGGGATGTTCTACAAGAGGCCTACGAAGGAACAACTCAGATAAACGAGTGCAAACAGACTGTCGCTGAAACTGTTGCAACAGTTGGACAGACTGTTCAGACAGAACTTAGGTATGATAAGTTGCATTCAATATCTGATAAAAGATTAACTCCGTTAAATCTTGCAGGTGATGATTGGGATTCAGAAAACAACAGCGATGATGACGTGTCATCCTTGGAAGAAATAAAGCAATGCTATGAAAAGATGTACGAAAAATTTCTTCAGGTGTGTGAGTCAAATAAATTCTTAGAAAAAGAGAAGCTTGTCCTAATTGAGGAAAACAAAGTATTGAAGGTACGAATTTCTACTCTTGAACAAAATATTATTTCTGCTAGTAGAGAAACAGATAGCTTGAAGGCTAAATTTGCTCAAACCCAAGATGCTATTTCTAAGTTTAATACTGGTAGGGTAACTTTGAATGATATTTTGAACCAAAATCAGCCGAATTGCGGTCGTACAGGTATAGGACGTAATCAGCTATCTAATGATGCATTGAAACAGAAAGAAGATCCAAAAAGAAAAATCAATTTTGTTAAACAATCCACTGTTTCACAAACTGTTGCGACAGTTGCATCAACTCAGTCATCTCAAAGAAAACGTTTTGTCCCTACCTGTCATTTTTGTCATGCTCCTGGTCATATACGACCTAGGTGTTTTAAGTACTTGAAATTAGTTAAAAGAATAATGGCCCGCTCACCACTTTCCGCTAAAATTGATCACACTTTTGTGTCGTCTCAAAAACCCAAGATAAAGGTTGATTTAGTGAATAAATCTCAACAAAAAATCTGGGTAAAGAAGTCTGATCTTAATTGTTTATCTGCCATTACTTCTTTAAAATCATGTGATGATAGTACTAACTGTTCCAACAGTTCTGGTGACAAAGCTAGTTTGGGGAAGGAAAAATTTGGTAATCTGAATTGTGATAATTTGTATGCGAAAAATAAGTTTATGAATCCAATTCAGCATTCGAGAACTAAGCTTACTGATATTTGTCATATTTTCATAAGGGGCTTGGTTAAAAAGGGGGTTGTCTCAATTGATTATGCTGCAACGGAGAATGAATTAACTGATGCTTTTGCAAAAACCCTTGATGCACAGAAATTTGATTCCTTGCGAAAATCGCTGGGAATTTATGTTGTTTAATCTGATGCAGTTGCATGAACTGTTGCAACAGTCTGTGTGTCCAGACTTGCAACTTTTAGAGGTAGGACACTTCATATGTTTTTGCATCTCATATAGGACCTGCATTAAGCATACTGCATATGATTGAGACAAATGTGAATTTGATACTTCGTGTATTTCTAAATTTTGTGGGGTAGAACTTCACCAATTGCCAAAATGATTACTTAAAAGGCTCCAACTTATTTATTTCTCTGAATAGTCTTGTCATGGTTGGATGTTTTTATAGGGAAAAGCTACCTCTTTTAATGAGTGAAAGCTACTCTTGAACTACTGTTACTAATATATATATCTACAACCATTTGGTCAGTGAATAGTTCGAAGCCTTTTTGAGTCGAGCCAGTAAATCACGTGGCCGAAAGCTCGCTACAAGGCTCAATTAGAAAGCCCAGGGGACTACACATTGCACGGCCAATATAAATTATATATATATGGTCAGTGAATAGTTCGAAGCCTAGTTGAGTCGAGCCAGTAAACCACTTGACCGAACACTTACTACAAAGCTCAATTAGAAAGCCCAGGGGACTACACATTGCACGACCACCATAATCTCGTTCTTTTTATTTGCTCTATTTTTCATAAAAAAAAAAAAAAAAAAGCTACCATTAGACGTGTGTGTACGCTACCTAATACGAGCATCTTTGTGTTTGACTTGGGATTATTAAGTTTGTTGGTTGCATTGGCAGTCGGATTTTTGGGGATTGCGCTTATCGTGAATGTGAAGATAAATCCCATATGTTTTGTTTGTCCATGCAGTATTCTATTCACATATGTCTCTTCACTCATGTTTATTTCTCATATTTACTTCTTGTCTTGCATTAGGCATTAAAAAAAAAAAAAAAAAAAAAAAAAAAAGAGAGAGAGAGAGAGAGAGAGACGGGATTTTTGTTTATGTGCTGGTTAAATTTGATTTTTGTTGCAACCGGATCTATTGGGCCTACTACTCACATTTCCACGTTTCGTATGAAGTTTGGCAAAGTCTGTAGTCTTTGTTATTTAATGCTGGATTTGATATCACTATCCTTTTGATTTCGTATTGCAATTATCGTGTGTTATTGAGTGTGTGAGTTTGTGATTTTGTGTTCCCGTCATGTATGGTGATTCTTCTTACTTACTTTCAAAATTCTCTCTACGTTTGATATTTTTGTTAAGTGTTTGAACAGCTTGCTCGAATCATCAAGATCTTTTTGTTAAGTGTTTGAACATCTACGTGCACCATGTTGAGTTATCTATGCATGGTGATTGCCCAGAAAGGGGGAGAAAAGAACAGTAACGATGGCATGAACACAGGGGGAGTTCCGACAACTGTTGCGACAGTGCATCAGACAGTTGCTGGAACAGTGCAGGAATGCAGGGGGAGTTCAGAGGAATTCATTGTCAAGGGAAGTTGATTCTGCTACTGAAAAGAGTTGTTTTATCTGCTGAACTGTTTGATAAACTGTTGCAACAGTTTATATTTGCAGACGTTATTTTGAATTTGCTGACCCTTGTTCATGCATATATATCATATATTTAGGGGGAGTAAATGTTCTGACCAATCAATGCCAAAGGGGGAGAGTGTTAGAATCTCGGTGGGATTCTAAGTCCACAACACCAAGTGGAATTCTATGGAGATGTGTATTAATATGAGGAACATATTTTCCTTAGTTATCTCATCAGATAATTTGAGAAGAAATAAATTATCTCTCCATATTAATCACCTGAACGTGTCTATCCAAAATAGAAGGAATTCCATCTTTTTATTTCTACTGTGGTAATTGTCATTAATTGGTTTCCTTGTTTGATTTCTCCAGAGCTTCACAAGAATATAAAAGGAGGAGCTAATGCCGACGTTATTTGCTGAGTCTCTTATCACGTGGATAATTTACCACGTTGTCATCCACCGCCTTCCAAGTCTATCAAGCCGAGTAAGCAAAGGGGAAGAATGAATGCATTTACAAGAGGAGCTGCCTAAGGATCATTCACAGAGGGAGATACACATGCAGGGGGAGCTGACTCCGTTGTGAACCACCTGCCGAAGCCACTACTGTGGGAACAGTTGCTGAAACTGTGGCACTTACTATTGCAGCAGTTGATGCCACTCTTGTTGAAAGAGTTGATGATGATCTTTAGTTTTATTTGCTTCCGTCTAATCATCTGATTGTTTTATTTTCAGGTTTTTTACTCAGTGAGAGAAAATGATTATAATCAATAAACGACAAAGGGGGAGATTGTTAGAATCCTTTGGATTCTAATTATACGAGAATTAATGAAACTTGTGCCACAAGTTTGCATATACCGTGAGCTAAAGAAGGGAAGAGTCCTCGTAGCTTTTAATTCTTTTAATTTGTCATTAATTGATTTATAATAGGAATTATTCTTCTAAAGAGTTATTCTTATTTTAACCCAAGACTTTCTTGTGTGCAGGTCTCCTATTGTTAGAATCAAAATTGGAGTCTAATTATTCTCAAAGTCTTGGGGAACAAGTCTTCATGTTGCCGTGTGTTTTTTATTGAAAAAGGAAGAAGTGGTTTCCTTGGTTTATTATATGTTGTCATTAATATTTGAGATATTATTTTATATGGGAATTATTTATTGATAAGGCAAATCAATCTCCTATATCTCTAAGATTTAGATTCCTACGTGACTTGTATTTCTAAGATTGTGGTCTCTGACTTTTCCTTGTATAGGGATCTTATGGCGTAGGATATAAAAGGAGAGCTACCTCAGCAATAGGTTTCATGCGTTTTATTGGAGAGAAAAATAATATTTTTCTGCTCTTTTGATTGCTGCTCCAGGAACGTCTTTTTATCGAGAGAAGTTTTTCACAGAAAATATTTTTCCTCTCGTTTTTATTGTTCCATCGTGATACGTGATTTTCATAGAAAATATATCGGCTTCAAGGCTTTGTGGTGAAGACACCAAGATTCAAGGAGTATCACAAGTTTGCTTCTTCTACACAAAAAGAAGATCGGTTCTTCGGGAGAGGGGCTTAAACAGATCTCGGGAGGAGATCGATCCGCCGACTGAGGGATTCAGCGTTGAAGGGAGTTCAACCGTGCGGAGCAAGGGACGTGGTGCAAATTGAAGATTTATAATTCAGCGTAGTATACAAGAACGGCGTCAACAAAGAGGGAGTCTTTGTATTTTGATTAAGTCCTAATATTGTATTCGTAAAACTAAAAATTAGTAAATTTTATTTGCAGGTCCCCGTGGATGTAGGGTACAATTGTATCCGAACCACATTAAAATTTGTGTCTCGTTTATTTCTGTTTTTACGAACTGCTTCACGAACTGTTGCAACACTTCACACAACAGTAACGAAAAACTGAATCTGACACAAATAATTTATATCTGCACGAAATAATTCTAACATTCTCCAATTGGTACCCTTTTTTTTTCCATTCGAGCTCCACATTTTGAAACAAGATGATCATAAGATGTGTTTGACTAGTAAATATCAGATTCCGTGGAATGGTCTCTAGTTTGTACTCGTTTTGTATAAAAATGTTGTTTATGTTGCACCACAATCTGATATTTATTAGCCAAAAAACACATCTTATGACCATCTTTTTTTTCAAAACGTGGAGCTCAAATGAAAAAAACAGGTACAAATTGGAGAATATTCCATATAATCTAGAAGATTCCACTAAATTTGACACCGAATGGTGAGCATGTAAGAAGATTCATAGTTGCCGTAATTTACCATTAAAAACATTCTAATTGCATGTGTTTAGATAAAAAGTATGTTTTATAATATTTATTTATTACATAAAAATACAATAAGATATTAGTAGATTTGAAATTAAATTAATCGGCCCACCACCATCATCATAATTCACAATGAGTTGCTAGGCTGGTAACCCCACCGAAAAAGTGTACGGCTTAGTTCATAATGAGGAATGATACCCTTAATTTTTTTGCATTTTTCTTCTTAATTATTGTTATCTTTAATTATTTTTTTCTTCTTTTATTTGCTTTTTGTGGAAGGGAATCTCCAAGCACGTTCGCATAAATTCTTGTGAAGATAAATTTATTTATTTATATAGTTCATATTTTAATAACTCGGATGATCTCAATTTTGTCGAATTAAATCATCTGAAATATTACCGAAGGACTAAATTGTGAACTTCAAGACTACTGTTGCATCTTGTAAATATGACCACAAGTCGCTCGACTTAACGACAAAGGGTCGATTATTCGTTGATTATGAGTCGCGAATCAACCAGTGTATTACAAATTGGTTACAGTTCAATGTAGTTTGTACGATTCATTAATAAAGAAAAACCTTGGAGATATGAATGCTCAAGATCAAACAACCGTTGCATAACACTTACCTTAACCAACCAACTGTTTTGAACTTGTAGGTCCGAACCGTCTATTTTTTTAAAATCAAGAAAATAAGATGAGTTGACCGTTATAGACCAACGCCAACATATCTTGGCTAGAGCTGGAAATTGTAGGGATTGGTTCAGAATTAGAACTTTTGGAGAAATGTAGATATTTTTGGAAGTGAAAAACTAGTTTCATTTCCTTTTTCTAAAAGAATTGTGAAATCGAAATTTCAAATTTTGTATTAAGAAAAATGCGTTGCAAAGTTGGAAATTTTTTGGATCGAAATGGGGAGAATATATAATAATTTTGATATCATAGGTGTAATTTTCGGAATTATTTTGTTGAAATTTAAAATCGGATTGGAAATATAATTGGAATTTCATATAGATTCCAATTCCAATCTAAAATTTCAAAAGAAAATTGAAAATCATAATGCTAGAATTCATAATGAAAATTATTGTTCCAACATTGAAAATTTCTGATCGGAACCGATTGAAATTGGAAATTTCGTCCCGTTTTCCACCCCTATATTGACCATTTTCTGAAGCGTCAGGCTCATTTTCCCAATTAACTCCCTCAACTCTCGTTCTCTCTTAAATATTATGGTACCAACTAAGGCTTAGCTAGTTGTATCGGCGCCTCTCGTTTTAGTGTTTGGTGAGAAATCGGGGATTATGCGTGTGTTACAAGACCATACATATTATAAGGCCAAATTTTATTAAAAGAAAATAAAAATGACAGCAATCCATCTTAACCATGCAAATATTCACAATTCCCAATTAGAAACATCAATAAAAATGAAAATGAAAATAATTAAAAGAAAAAAAGAACATTTAATTTCCCGAAAGCAACGGGTAATTTCATAAATCAGCCTAAACTAGACCTAGTAACCTCGTAAGCCAAGAAGCACGCGGCGTTCGCCGGAACACTCCGGCACATTGCGGGCCCGAAACCCTTATAGAGCCCCTTAACACCCTCCGATTTCAAGATCTTTCTAAAAGCATCGATAGATCCAGAATATTTAGGGTTCTTGAAATCGTCCACCTGGAGCACACTCTTGACGACATCTGTCGGATAAACGGAGACCCAGAAAGAAGCGCCAGCTAAGCCACCGGCCATAATCAACGACCCCCTCCCCAAGGTTGAGGTGTCTTGGCCCCCTGCCAAGTACTGCTTGAAAGCCTCGTAGACACCAAACATGGCGGCGTTTCCGGGTACTTCGCGCGCGAAGGTGGGAATTAGCCCCTTGAAGAGGCCCCTCGCCCCACCTTCCGATCGGAGTACGTGCCTTGCCACGTCCATCGGCCCACCGTACTTCACCGCCGCGGCGGTGGCGGTGGCGGTGGCGGCAGCAGCGCCGGCGACCGTTGCTTCGGTGGTTGTTGCTATCGCGCTTTGGGCTTGCAATCTTTACGTTATGCAAAAGGATAAAACAATTTTAATCAATACTCATCGAATTTCTTGCATGAGAACAAGATCACAATCCAATATTATCTTACAAGAATATTTTGTATTTAGACCAGCTTCGTCTTATTTATTCAATGTGTGTAGGGTAGAAATCGGACCGATCAGATCGGAAATTTGCAGTTTCGGGAAAAAAATCATTTTTTTACTAGAAGTGAAAAAACTAATTCCAATTCTGTTAAAATAAGTCAGAAATCGGAATTTCAGAGATTGGAATTAAAAACCTTGTTCCGAAATCAGAAACTATATCAGAATCCAAAATTCCAATTTTTTTATTCACCTATTATAAAAAATACATAACATTGATATTATAAAGGCAACTTTCGGACAAAATCAAAATTTTCGGAATTATTTTCAAAAATTAAAAATCGGATCGGAAATCCGAATTTCATAGATATTCCAATTATGATCCAAAAAGAATTGGAAAAAATCTGATTTGGAATGAATATTATTGTTCCAAAATCAAAACAATTATCGACTCGGAATCAGAACTCTGTTCCGATTTCAACACACGTGTGTGTGTGTGTGTGAAATCTAGCTCATACATTGACGCAGAAATACCACACTTTTCTTTATGTTATATTTTAAGACAAGGAGCCAAATAACTAACCTGCATTTGATCAATTCGGTGGGACAAGCGAGAAACGAGACAGCAACACCTGCACCAGCGCCACAGACAACCTGCTGGCCCACCGTAAGAGGAGTACCAGGTTCAGACCTCAAGTACGCCTCCATTTGTCCTCTAACTGTGAACAACACCGCGTTAAAAGCCGCCACAGTGGCAAGTGGGGCCCCCATTCCCTTGTACAAACCTCTCGGCCCTTCTGCAGCTATCGTTTGCTTCACAGCATCTATGGCCCCCGAGAATTTTGGAGGTTGACCGGGAATTGGGGCAGGTTGACTTTGGAGTTTGACCTTGATCGTGTCGAAAGGGTGCCCCACTACCAACTGCGCTGCCCCTCCAACGGTGCCAGCTGTCAGATCTTTCACTACATCACCCATCTGCAAATATATATACATTTTTTCCCCACAAGAAAATATAAATAATTAGTCTCGAGAAGATTTATATATTTGAAAATTATCTAAATTCATAAATTTGACTTAAATTTAAAACAAAAAACGTATTCCGGTAATAAATTTGTCTGATTTCAACCACCAGAAAAATGTATAGAATTGTCGATACAAATTAACAAGCACAAGACAATTGATGCTTTCGTATTCACTTTACGAATTACAGACACTCATCTGAATTCGAACGAGGTCATCTTTTCACTTCTTTTTAAACGATAGCAAATTTAGCGACTAAGCCATCTTTTTTACTTCTTTTTACAGTAATATATACACGTGAATACATTTAAAACAAACGTGTATATAATATGCACAATATCAAAAGAAATACCTTCTCCATATATAAAAATCGAGAATATCAGAAAAACGAATGATCTTTTACCATGAATCTCCACTGAATAAATAATGCACACGAACCGTCGTGCACAATCAATACATCTATTTCGCCATTGCTAAAAAAGACTATGTTCACAAAGATTCTAACGCTTTCAACGAATGGTCAAAAGGCCACCGCGTTGACCAAATCTTTCATCGTAAGAAACGTTTGCTTCGGATTGATAGAAAGAACAATTTAATGCAACCACCTGATATGCTATTAATCAGCATTGCAAGAACTATAAACACAAGTACAAATAAAATCACTTTACAAATACACAAAACACAAATCTTTATGAATTTGCAACAGGTGTATTACAAGCAGAACATTGCAAACAACTTTAAAAATTAATTATTAGTTGTAAAAAAAAAAAAAAACTAAAAAAAAGCTGACCTTGCTCGATCCGTTTAATCCGAGATGATAACAACCAAACAGATCACGCCCCTTTGCGCAGAAACCCTAGAAATCGCAATCTGGGATTTAAAAAAGAAAAACAAAATCAGAAAAGAAACACAGCCAATCGGGGGGCTAAATTGCAGGCCTCAATTAATATATAAATGATTTAGATGTTATAATCTGCTGTAGCAGGTTTACGATAAAAGAAAGAAAAAAATACCGAAAGGGGATTAGTTAGGGTTTCGATTGGACCGAATTGAAAAATCAAAAGATTGGGCAAAATGTTGGCTCGCCTGCCCAAATCGTGGAGTGGGAAGAAGCAGACGATAATGTTGTTTTTCTATGCGTATAGAATGCAATAAGTGGTTGGCGGTGGAGATAGGTTAAAATTAAATAAATTAATTAACAAACACAGAACGAAAAAACGAATCTTGGCTGAAATTCAGAGCCACATGAGTGAAATCTATGACACGACAAACATATAGGAATTTGAACTCTAGAGAGAGAGAGAGAGAGAGAGAGAGAGAGAGAGAGAGAAGCAGTACGGAGTGGGTAAGGGAAATGCGGCCGGAGTTGATGGGGCAACGTTAACCTCTCATAAGGGGTGAGAGAGGACGACAATTTGAGATTTTAGAGAGAGAGAGAGAGAGAAGTTTTAGAGAGAGAGAGAGAGAGAGTGTGTATGGCAGTGTATCTGGATCTTGATTGAGAGATTCCACTTGCCAACTTCTTTTACACCAACAAGATACATTTTTTCTTTTTTCATTGGTTGATGATTTACTAACCCAAAATCAAGGTAGTGGAATTTGTTTGGTAAGATGGAGAATACCGAATTGGAATGGGATTTCCCGATTTTCGTCGATTTCGATGCGAAAATATTACAAAATTTGAAATAATAATTTTCGTTCCAAATTATGATTTCTGATTTTTTGAAATAATAATTGGGTCGAAAAGGAGAGTATATATAAATAAGATTTTGTTTATGGTTATGATTTTAATTTTTTAATATTCTACTTTCCATAAAAAATTGTAGTTTTAACATCAATATTATTATGTATTTTAAGGCAAATTACGACCACCCCTAAAGTATCGTAAAATTACAAAAAAAACCCTTTTGTTTGTGGTCTTCGGCAACAAAAAAATAAAAAAATAAGTCAAAATCGAGTTTTTATGGTTAAAATTGATGTAATTTGAATTAAGTTGGAGTTACAATTAGAAATTGCGTGGAAAAGGTTGAGAGTGATTTTATCATAAACATTAAATTTGACTTTATTTATAATAAAGAGATGAGTTTATTGAGAAAATAAATAAATACGTAATCCTAAATTAATAAAAGTTCTTAGTTATGAACCTTTTCAAAATAAATAAATAATAAACCCTATAAAATTAGCACGATCCACTCATATCTTTAGAATGTTGAGACAACATTTTAGTGCTTATTACATGCATTTGCATCATCACATAATGCACGCACATTACTACTTTTTCTTTAATTAATTATAGAACTTAAGCATTATTAGTTAAATTTATATTTTATATTATATATACAAGATGAATTTCATCTTCCTATGTTTGATATGTGACAATTTTATTTGATGATATATTCTCAATTTCATCTGTTCATTTAATTGGTTGAAATAAATCATCATAAAATGCGTCATCTACTTTTCCGTTCCACTAATTAATATTTGGCACATCATTTTTCTAAATTAAGTATTATTATGTCATGTATTATTTAACATTTTATATTTAGGAAAATAACCAAAGGCAAATGGCAAAAAGGTCCATCACATGGGACTTAAATGCATTTTGGTCCACAAAAAAAACAGTCTCTCAATTAAGCCTATCCCCATGTCTTTAGTCTAAAATACCCTCAATAATATAATTCTTATCAATTCCACCCATTATACTCTAACTTCCTTAATATTACATATTGACCCCGAATTTAAACAAATATATCACATTAACCCCCAAAACTTTTTTTTTTCATAAAATAATTTTTTTTCTGAAATGTTTTTTTTCCGGCCAGATTCCGGCGTTGACTTTTTCTTTTTTTTTTTTTTTTTTTTTTGAAACTTTTTTTTTTCCTGAAATTTTTTTCCGCCCGGTCAACCACCGTTGACCGCCGGTCTCCCGCGTTGACTTTTTTGTTTTTTTTTTGAATTATTCTTCCTAGAAAAAAAATATTTTAATTAATATTACTGTCTTGGCTACTAAATTACTGTCTTAGACAGTAATATTACTGTTTGGGACAGTAATATTATTATTTTTCCGAATAGTAATATTATTAATATTATTGTCTAAGACAGTTAAATTACTGTTGGAGACAGTAATTTAACATCCAAGGCAGTAATATTAATTAAAATAATTTTTTTTAAGGAAAAAAAAAAAAAAAGTCAATTAACAGTTAAATTACTGTCTGCGACAGTTAAATAACTGCCGGAGACAGTAATTTAGCAACGAATACAGTAATATTAATTAAAAATATTTTTTTTAAGAATAAAAAAGTCAATTAACAGTTAAATTACTGTCTCCGACAGTTAAATAACTGTTGGAGACAGTAATTTATCAACGAATACAGTAATATTAATTAAAATATTTTTGAAGAAAAAAAAAAAAAAACAAAAGAGTCAATTAAGAATTAACAGTTAAATTACTGTCTCCGACAGTTAAATAACTGCCGGAGACAGTAATTTAGCAGCCAAGACAGTAATATTAATTAAAATATTTTTTTTAAGAAAAAACAAAATTATTAAAAAAAAATAAAACATAAAAAATAAAAAAAAGTCAACGGCGGAGACCGGCGGTCAACGCCGGTCAACGGCGGCGACCGGCGGTCTCCGGTGGTGGCGGGTCAAAATTGGGGTCAAAATTGAAATTATGGTTAAAATTGGTTAATTGATGAAATTGGGCTAAATTGGGGTGTAAATCATGAAATTGGAGTTAAATTGGGTTTCAATGAATTGGGGGTAATTTTGGTATATATAAAATGATTTTCCTTATTTGCAAATAACTTTGAATAAGCTGGATTAATTTGAAAGACAAAAAAGTTGGATGTCCCTCTTTTAATTAAGTGCCCTTATCATGGGCCTATTTGTCATTACCCCAATAACCAATCAATTTTCATCGATCATAGTTCATTTTGCCGAAATAAAAAATTAACTACACAGAGTACTTGCATAATTTGACTTCCTTATATTTTTATAGAATATCAAATTCAAAAATAATCCCATTAAATAATACTTTTGTTAACAAAAATTTCCTTTTAATTCTTCCAACTTTGTAAAGCTTTGGGATTCTTACGGATTTCAATTTTATTATTTTGACCACAATTTCAGCTTTATTTATATGAAGGGGCTCTTATTTCGACCCATTGCACAGTCTAATCCTCGATCTAATATGGTATAGAGGCATAGAAAAGATAGAAGAAGAGAAAAAAGTGAGAAGAGAGATTTTTCAGATCGAGAAAAAAAAATAGAGAGAAGAAAGAACGGCGCATGAGAAGACTTAAATTGATAAATCAGGGTTAAGGAAGTTATAAATCGTAAAGGGTATAATTGATGCCAGCACACTGTAGAGGTGCGGCCGCATCCAAGGGCAAACTATCGGGAATATGGACTGTTAAGTATATATTTTTATACTTTATCGTACCTTTTTATTTGAGCTTTTGTTGTGATTTAACGATAATTGGTGCTTAAAAAGTTGATTTATTGTATTTTAGGTATAAATTGAAGAATTGGAAAAGTTTGGGGTCAAAACTGCAATTTTGGAGAAAATATGGGCCAAAAGTGAAAAAATCAAAAATCTGAAGAAATTGGCACGGGACGGCCGTCCCAAATTTACACCTAAAAATGGGACGGCCGTGCCAAATGCAGAAATTGGGCAGAAGGTTTCGGCGATTCTCGCGCGGCCGTGCGAGAATTGCACTGATTTTCGCGCGGCCGTGCCAAATCACGCTGGAGACAATTTTGGACTTTTAAACACACAAGGAAACCTAGAATCATCTACCAAGTTGGGACATCTATTTAAGCCCAAACCAAGCACGAATCAAAGGACTTTGGAACACAATCTTGGAGGAAGAGGAGCGCGAAGAACGAAGATCGACGAAGACTCAAGCATAGTTTTTCTTATTTATTTTATTTATTCTATTTTGTTTATCATAAGAATTACGAGTAACTAAGTTTTTAATCTAGGATTTTGTTGGAACCCTATGTGGGGATGGTGAACCCGTTTTCTTGAGATTATGCAATTATGATTTTATGATTATTTCTTCTACTTGATATGATTGTTAGTCCATGAACTTGATCAATTTATGTGCTTTATCTGTGATTATTGGGATTGACTCGACAGAACTATTTTGATAATTAGACGGTAAGTAGAAGAACCTTCGAGTAGTTTTCACCGGATGAGTGTGTCAATTGCATGTGGTGTCGTAGACATACAGATATCACATTAGGTAGCCATTTACGAGACTTGTTAGTTAATGCTTTATTCATAATTGGTTTGCATAGACATATAGTGAATCGTTTATGAATAATAGACTCATAATACACGCGACAGCGGGTTATGAGTAAATTAGTGTCTCGGGTTAATAATCATGAATCATATATTTCATAATTGAGGGGTTTTGGGTGAGCAATTCTTGCATAGGGGGAAGATAAAATCCTAGGTCCGTTTTATTGATATTTTCTCGTGTTTATTTGCTTTCATAATTAGTTTAATTGTTTAATTGATTTAATTTGACAAACTTGCGTAGGCTGGATAAAAATCATAGTTGTTAGAATTTGGTACTTAGGATTAGATAATTTGAGTATTCCCTGTGGGATCGACATCCGACTCTCACGAGTCCACTTTATTACTTGTTTGCGATACGTGCACTTGCGTGTTGGTATTTAGCACCCAACAAGTTTTTGGCGCACCACAGAATGCTCGTTAGATACCATGATGTCTTAATATCAACCCTGTGTGAGTGTCCCATCGGCCATCTTGGTCTATTGAGCTATACGTCGGCATTAATTTCGGACAATAGTTTTCTAAATCGTTGTTGCAGTTATCGCATGATCTGCACGAGTTTACTATGCACCCTACACTGAATTTACGGACTTTGCTCCCTACCTCGGTCACCTCTCCAACAATCTCATGCATGCGGTTTTAATAATGGATTAATTATAATCTAAATTTCTCGAAATTTGGCAATCATGTATACGGAAAATACAAATCGCAAAGATCGAGGAACTAACGAAACAAAATTAGAAAATTGATAGAATTTCGCATACCCCGGAACCATGGGATGCATAGCGAAGCCCCATTCGTTCCTGATATGGTGAAGATCAGAATGGCAAATCCCACAGTACAACACTTTCATCTGCAATTACATCATCATATTTTTTGATGCCATAAATATATCAAAGATTTATTTTGTTATTTTTCTTGTTTTTTAAATTTTTTTTTGTAAACATTCTTTTAAGAGTTGTTACATCTGATAAGCTGTTTTAAGA